GTCAGGGGTCCCTTTACCTTTAAAGGTAAAGGTAAAGGTACCCCTGCCCATACGGGCCAGTTGTGTCCGACTCTGGGGTTGTGCGCCCATCTCACTTAAGAGGCCGGGGGCCAGCGCTGTCCGAGGACACTTCGGGGTCATGTGGCCAGCGTGACAAGCTGCATCTGGCGAGCCAGCGCAGCACACGGAAACGCCGTTTACCTTCCCACTAGAAAGCGGTCCCTATTTATCTACTTGCACCCGGGGGTGATTTCGAACTGCTAGGTTGGCAGGCGCTGGGACCGAACGACAGGAGCGTACCCTGCCATGGGGATTCGAACCGCCGACCTGACGATCGGCAAGTCCTAGGCGCTGAGGTTTTACCCACAGCATCACCCGCGTCCCTCCCTTTACCTTTACCTTTACTCAAATCATATTTATGATTTCAGTGACCCTGGTCTTAGCATCTTAGAGGAGTGGCAGTATGTGCCAAACTTAGTTGGCATAAGGTGCTTTGTTGATGGTGCAAAGCAAAATGAAGCAGGGAGAACCTGCTATGATGAGAAAGTGGCAGCATCCTCAAATCCTTCCTTTCTGTGAATGACACACAACCAAAAAGATGTCCAATGCCACACTGTGGACTTGGGGAGGAACTGCAGCCTGTCCAGTATAGGTTCAGGCATTGTCACTTCTGGAGAAACCTCCACCGAGACAGGAAGCTGTATTTCTGGGTATGGGAATCACTGCAGGTGGAATTGTTTGCATAGGTGCCAAAGCACAATGAGCAACAGAAACAACCGCAGCAGCAGAAGGTTGTTGATGTCACTCCTTGGCCACTCATACATTGCCTTCTTTGAGGAAGGTTTAGAAATTAACACAGGTCCAGGGGCAAGGAGCAATAGGGGATGTAGAAATGGACACCTTAGGAGTTAAAGAATGATGCTGGGCAACTATTTCTGTCTGCCCTCAAAATGAGGCTACAAAGATGGTTATTGTGGTACCTGCTGCTCTTTGCCACAACAATGCCCTCCGATTACAAAAGTCTGCTGAGTAAATTTCAGGAAATGTCAAATTCGGTTCACGCTCTTCTCCCAAATTATCACGTCACAGGCGATTTCAGGTCAATGCCCAACTAAACGTCGAGATATTTACATTCCTTAGTGAGCCTGTGGGCACCAGTTGCCAGCTAGATCTCTAGAATGTTCCCAGGGGTGCTTCATGCTAGCACAGAACTCATAGGTAAGAATCCACAGAGACCACAAAGAAGAATAAATTTGCCACTCTGTCCCTCTTACTTTCTCCTTGGCTAATGTGAATTGCTATACAGAATATAGAAAATTCTACACTGGTGAGGAGGGGGAAGGACAGAGAGCTAGAAAGATTGAGAGCGGGGAGGGGGGAAGCTTCTTAAATATTTGGACAGTTAGTGCCAGCATGTGCAGAGGAAAGTAAGACAACATGAGAGTAGAGGCACTTAAGGAATTCAGTTTCTGTACATTCTGATGCCGATTTATCTGATCTGTACTTCCTAGACAAAGTGGGACAAATCTGAAAATAATTAGTCTTAGGATTTTGCACTTCTTCAAATTTTGCAATGCTTTTTTTTTTTTTTTTGCTTATGCATACACACACACACTTAGATATGCATGAACTGAAACAAAACAAAAAATCTAAATTCATATTTTGTGCTAGAATATGTATCTAAATTTGGTATTTATTATAAACGCATGCATTTAATAAGAGTTTTGTATAATATTCAAAAATTGTTGATTAATATGTAAACCAGATGGGATGGATTTATTAATACAAATCCATGATTATGTGAAATTGGCACAGACCTGAAACTGACTGAGCTATCCATCCAAATATGAGCAGGGAACGGGAGAGGGAAGGAAAGAGAGCCAGAGAAACGCTTTCAGAAGGGGGTATTAGTAGTAGTAGTGGTGAAGATTTGTATTGTGAAGAGATAGAGTGGAAAGGAATGAGACAAGAGGATGGAGGCCCTTCTTCTTCCCAGTCTCTAAGCCATGAAATTTCCATTTTATCTATTTCCTATGGGATTTCTATCCCATCTTTGAAACCAATTCCCCAAGTGGCTTACAAAAAATCCATAGCTGTCAAGTGTCCCTTATTTGAAGGGACAGTCCCTTATTCCAGCGCCATGTCCCGCTGCTGTCCCTTATTGATGGATGTCCCTTAAATGTCCCTTAAATGATGTCCCTTAAATTTCAAAGGAAGCAGCTCCTCTCCCTCCCTCCCTCCCTCCCTCCCTGTCGGCCAGGGAGGAGGGAGGCTCCAACTGTGTTGCTTGGCTGTGTTGCTCACCCAATAAGAAGTCTAAGAACGACTGGGGGGTGGAGTATGCATGCCTTGTGCTGATCAAATCGGCTGCGCTGCCTGGAGACTCGCCATTGCCCAGTGCTTCCCAATGGAGAGGTGATGGTGGTTTTCCTTGAGGCTTCGTTTGGCTGCTGGCTGGGCTTTCTGCCTTTGGCTCAGAGGGGCTCAGAATCGGATGGATACGTCATCCAAGGCCCACTCACCCTTGCTGGTAAAAAAGTCTGTCTGGAGTGGGGGCACATGGTGGGGGGAAAGGAAAGGAGATCTCGTGGGAGGGGGGGAGGCTGTGTGTGTGTGGCTAGTTAATGCAAGCTGAGGGGTTTTTTGAATGCTGGACACCATTTTGTTGCACGTGCTGCTGCAAACTTTGCAGTGCAAAGCCAGGCCAGGGAGCCATCTTAAGTTGAGGCTGCATAGGCCTTGTGGTGCATGTGATTCAGATTCTATTCAGTTGAACCTCTGGTTACAAAGTTGGTTGGACAGTGTTCTCGAAGCTACCCAGCATGAGTTTGACCAGACTGCAGGAGGACAGGAAGACTGGAGTGCTTGGAACAGGTGAGGCTGCAGGTCCCTTATTTTGGCTGCTGGTCCCTTATTTTCATGGCTGCTGGTCCCTTATTTTCAAATCTGTAAGTTGACAGCTATGAAAATCCGACCTATATAAGTTCTCAATATTCCACCCCACCCAATGGGGCATGGCAGTGCAATCTGAATCAGGATTGATTCAGAGCAGATGGGGCCACCAGTGGACTGCTTATTACATTGGAGACACAATTCTAATACACTGACCCTGTGCAAGTCACATGTTAAGAAACATGGCCCCAAATGAGGAAATGGCAGACTTCCCAGCATACCGTTAGATGGGGGCAGATGTCCGGGTCTGGCAGGGCTCTGATGGGTATGTGACAGAGGTGGGAAGTCTGGGGATTGACTTTGGAGAGCAGGGCAGTGATTTATGAAATTTGGCACAGGCTGTGAGTTTCAACGGAAGAGGAATGGTCAGAGCTGGCAGAGGTGGGTGTGCAGGATGTGTCAGAGGAAGAGGCTGTTCAGGTGAGAGACAGGCCAGTTGAATCCTCACCACCCCCCTGCCCCAGTGTCTACTGGAACCAGGAGGGGCTTGAAGAAAGAAGAGCAGTGATAGTTTCCATGTAGGAGAAGACAAGCTGGGTTTGTGTGGTCCCATTGTTGCTGCAAGCGCTCTGCAGGACAATCACCTGGGAACAGCTGCTTAGGGCCTAGAAGTGTGGGAGGGGGACTGTGGGAATTTCTGTGTACTTTTGTCAATTAAAAAGTAACTTTCAGACGTGTGCCTTTCCTGGCTGGTGCCTAGGACAGCAGCTTATAAAATGTACACAATTTCAGTGGGCGTTTAAATCAGTGCTTATTGTAGCCTTTCTTGGGACTGACAAGTTTTTAAATAGCTCTTCATTCCTGACAACTTTGGAGCAGCAATGTATATTAAATTTCCCTACACTTCATTGACTCAAAACATTTTTGCTTCACTCCTTGATTACTGGTTAGCATTGGCATGCTAGAAAGAACTCCTGAACCGAAGAAAGCAAAACACAATATCTTCTAAAAATATATCTTTAAGAACTCCGTTGCCACCTGACAGAATTGTAATAGCTGGCTTGCTCTGCAGAATTTATAATGTCTCTTGTTTTTCTGTAATGGCCTACTTTAAGCAATAAAACAATTACATACTAAACAATAATATGATGGGCTGCTTTAGCTAATGTACTTTTGGATGAGATACTTCTCATATTAGAACATTCCCAGCCTCTGTTTTATTACAAAGCTGTTCACTAGTGGACACACACCAGTGCGTGCTTAGGCCTGTTGGTTTCAATAGGCTTAAGCATGTTTACATCTACGCTAAATTATGGCCTAAGGATGCAAGCATGAATACTTAATTGGAAATAAATTCTTTGGGAAACGGCCAAGCATATGCTCCAAATGTACCAATCTGCTCATGATGTCCTCTAGATAATTCTTAAAAGTTGAATATTGAATGATACATTCCCAATATATACCTACTGGTAGTTCACTGCTATGGTATTAGCTTTCTTTCTTTCTTATTTTCTTTTTTTGAGTAAATACATAGTCATTTAACTTAGAGGAGTCCTGATGGGACAGGCCAGCCAGAAGCAGGACATGAAGGAAATAGCTTCTCTCACATTGTAGCTTCCTAGCCGCTTGTATTGACTGGTGATATGTCTCTGAACCTCTGGTTGCATTCAAGAGTAGAATCTGTATGAAATTTGTAAAATCCCCAAGTTCTTTTTACAGTGAAGGCAGCAGAAAAACACAATTTGAAGTTAAGGTTTCCAAAATGCATTGGGCCATTTCACACATCAGCTACCTATGTCATAACTGTCCGTGTCACTCTGAGGAACTACGCTTTCACACAGAATAAGCAAGCACAACCAATATTCATCTTAGAAATGTTGCAAGGTATAGTCAAGTGAAAATTTATCATTGAGGTAGATTAGCCTTTAAGTTCCATATGTGCCTCTACACTGAAGGCTCAGAAGGAAACGCATTTGGACTCCTCACCTAAATGTCAATTTAAAGGTATCTTAGAAATCCAATACTTTCAGTGAAAATAACGAAAGCAAAAAAAAAAAGAGAGAGAGAAAAGCCTTAAACTTGTTATTTATTTAAGCAAAGCAACCTACCTTTCGAGAATGGATTTCTTTCACATACAATGGAAGTAGAAATTCAGATATACCTTCAAGTCGAATTCCTTTTTTGGTGACTCTCAGATTCCCCATTCCATCCTAGAAGCAATAATATACAAATGTGTGTATATGCCGTTGAGTTGGGCAGCTAATCACTATATACAATGCATCACTTACTCCCATCAAACCTCAGGTTTAGAAGGTTAATGCTAAAAGCAATGTAAGTGCAGGGGGAAGTGAGTATGCCTGTCTGATTATGAGATGATTCATGACATGAATGCACATCTGTCACGGTTTTTGATAGGCACATTGCCTACTGGCAACATACTTTAAAAACTTCAAGACATATTTCTTTGACATGTACCTTTCTATAGTTTGAGCTACCTAGTTCATAAAACTCTAGGTTGTCCTCCTTTATAAGAGTAATATGGATTGGGCCCATGTTTATCTGGAAATGTAGAGGTACCAGGAGGAAAGCCACCTGTAGCCTGAAGATTCGAACTTGCAAGTATGTGAGAAGCTTGTGATCAACAGCATACTACTCCATAGTTCGTATGACATTTCAAATTTAACGTTACATAAAATCATAGAATTATAGAGTTGGAAGAGACCCCGAGGGTCATATAGTCAAAACACCCTGGAGTACAGTGGTATTTCAGGTTACAAACACTTCGGGTCACAGACTCTGCTAACCCAGTAGTAGTACCTTGGGTTAAGAACTTTACCTCAGGATGAGAACGGAAATCGTGCGCCAGTGGCGTGGCGGCGGCAGAAGGCCTCATTAGCTAAAGTGGTACCTCAGGTTAAGAACGGTTTCAGGTTAAGAATGGCTGTCCGGAACAAATTAAGTTCGTAACCAGAGGTACCACTGTACAGGAATCTCGACTAACTCATACTTTGTCAGGTGGCCATCCAACCTCTGCTTAAAAATCTCCAAGGAAGAAGAGTCCACCATCTCTTCTGGGAGTCTATTCCACTGTCCAACAGCTCTATACAAATGTCAAAGGATTCTCTTATATTCCCACTCAATAAAGAAGTTCCTGGCCATTTCACTCAGAATTTGCCACAATTACTTTGGAGCACACCAAGCATAGAAAATGCAGACAGACCCATGTTCATGGACATATGCTGGAGAATTCCTGTTACATATTCTGAGGGGTCTTTTTAAAAAAAAACAAGAACATGGAAATCTTTTTCACTATTTGTGTTTTCACTGTGGGAAAATTCAGTGTATAAACTGTGAAGTTGCAGAGTGTTCTTTTGGGGATAAAACAGCGTGATTCCATGCATGTTGTCTTCAGCTCCTTGGAGCATGCTAGATAAATATGCTAGATAAATAAGAGCCTATGGAAGGACAATGGTATTTTATACAGTGTGGCTCCCTCAACTTGCCTATACAAGGCAAGATTACAGGGCAGAGGAAATATGCATTTTTTTAAATGCTGAATGTCTTGCTTTTGCCAGGCAGAGGGTTACAACACATAAGGGGTGTTGCTTTTAGACACCCCGACTTTGTTCTGTATGAAATGTTGGCAGATGTCAATCATTACATGTCCAACTGTTCATCAAATGCTCTCTTACTGTTAAATATTATTCTGTAACTGGCACAAAATATTGTTAAATGTGACACAACAGAAGTTTCAAAACTGATTTCCAGGAAGATATTGGGCATGCACTCTCAGTTTACAATGGATGATAGTGAGATGCAACAAACCCCCATGTAATTTGAACGATGGAGATCCACTCATGGGAACTGGGAGACCAACATCTAGAGGGTCACAGGTTTCACATCGCTGCCCTACAACATGTTCTCCAGATTCCTATGCAATGCCCTGGGATCCTTTGTCAAACATGTAGAGGTTCCTTGGTAGATTTTGTATGGTAAATGTTCCCAGAAGGTAGGAAGATTGAAACAACATTGCAATTTACTACTGCATGTCAGCCATCTATACTGTTAAATACTGAACACCATTGCATGCCTGATATTAAAAACTGTTGGATACCAATATTCAGACAAGTGTAACATATAGATATACTGACCACACAAAGAATATGTGGGAAATTATCAACATCAAAACTGCTTTTTGTTGAGAATCACTGGTAAGTACATTGATTTCAACTTTAAAATATACAGCTTCTCAACAATGATTCATCCTCCATTCTCCACTAACGCCTGCCTACTGAGACTGAAGAGTTACATTATGAGGACAATTTCTCCAAAGCACATCACACCAACTGAAATAATGAAATGTTTTCTAGAATAAAATATTAGCGCAGAGCTTCAAATGCAAAATATTTAAAATTTAATAGGATGAATGAATTGGAGCTCGATTTAAACATGAGACGAAAAATGCAACTCTTTCCCTTTTGAAAAAAACATTTTCCTGTGTTTGTGAACAGCAGAACTTTAGGTACATCTAATACAAGTAGAGCAGTAGCTAGTCACATTGAAATAATAATGGTCTGTACATATATGATTTTCTACCAGAGGTCATGCTTATCTTCCAACATGGGTAGGGAGCATGGAATAGCTACCTTGCCTCTTATTATTATTATTATTATTATATTAGAATTTATTATTTATACCTCGCCCATCTGGCTGGGCTTCCCCAGCCATACTGGGCGGCTTCCAACAAAATATTAAAATACAGTAATACATCAAACATTAAAAGCTTCCCTAAAAAGGGCTGCCTTCAGATGTCGTCTAAAAGTCTGGTAGTTGTTGTTCTCTTTGACATCTGGTGGGAGGGTGTTCCACAGGGCGGATGCCACTACCAAGAAGGCCCTCTACCTGGTTCCCTGTAACTTGGCTTCTCGCAGTGAGGGAAAGGCCAGAAGGCCCTTGGCGCTGGACCTCAGTGTCCGGGTAGAACGATGGGGGTGGAGAGGCTAACTGGGTTGTCAACTCCCTATGGCTACAGGTAAATCTTAAGCCTGAGGTGATCAGGCTGCTGATGAAGCCATGGCTAATGACAAAAGGAGAAGTAGTGCAACTATAGAACCCATAAACTGATTACAGCGCCTTGCATTCCATGCCCTGAGAGCTTAGATGTGGAGGGAGCCACGACAAGCTAAACCACAATGTTAGGAGAGAAAAAGACAGTCATCAACACCATACATTTAAAGCATGTTTAGCACCCATTAATTGACTCACAGAATTGTAGAGTTGGAAGGGACCTCAAGGGTCATCAAGTGCAACTCCCTGCAGTGCAGGAATCTCAGCTAACGTATCCATGACAGAAGACCGTACCAACCTCTACTTAAAAATCTCCAAGGAAGGAGAGTCCACCACCTCCTGAGGAGACCATACCACTGTCAAACAGCTCTTGGTGTCAGAAAGTTCTTCCTGATGTTTACGTTGGAATCTCCTTTCTTGTAACTTGAAGCCATTGGTTCAAGTCCTACCCTCCTGAGCAGGAAAAAACTAGCTTGTTCTCCCTTCCATGTGGCAACCCATGACTTCCCTCAGAATCTGGCTGCCAGGGTAGAGAGAAGCCAGCCAACCAGGCAAGTCTCAGGGGGGTACCTGCCTGGAGGCAGACTCCATATACAAGGTCCAGTCCAGTCCTAAGGTCAGGAGCATCTCAGTTCACATAGTCAGATGATCCGGCGGTCAAAAAAGCCGAGGGTCTAAGGTCATAAGAAGAAAGAATCAGCAAGGCCTGGTTAGGAACGACCAGGGTTGTTTCCAGCAACTGACTGAGGCTGGAATCCCTGCTTAAGAAAGCTGGAGCCAGCTGGTTCTCATCAGGAGCAAGAAGGCTGATCAGCAGCAGGTGGAGTCACTTTGCCTTCTGCTCCTTCAGGCTGCTGCTCAGCAGGTGAAACCGAGTCCTAACCCATGACAGAATCTTGGGGACCAATTTGAATGGGTGTTAGATGTGCTTTAAATATACAGTGCAGATGTTATTCATGAACTGTGTCCTTTCGGTACAGTTGGGATCCCTTTTCAATTTCATTTTTAGTGCAATATTGTGTAATAATCACCATAAGCACCTACCCATGTTAAAAACACTTCCTGGGTCTTTGATCCCAAGTAACTAGTTCCTTAACCTACTGCCACCAGACTGTTAGAATTCCTGCTCCATGATTGCAGTCATGGGATTGTTGTCTATCACATGACAGTGTGTGTTTTGACTCCACAGAGTGGGAAGTGATGAAGACAGGATATTTGTGTTACTGTGTACCGTGAAGTGGGACTATTGTACTTTGTTTTTCCCCTCTTTGCTGTCTGATGCTAGAGAGAGAGGGAGCCATGTTGCAGTGCTCCGTGTGTGTTTATATGTAAATAAAGTAGATTAGCCAAAATGCTGAGTTGCTGAGGTCTGTCACGCGCATGATGTGCAAACTCTGCGGATCCCTAAGTGTGCCGGTGTCTGTTGGCATCGGTCGCTGTGATGTTTGGACTGAAGAAAGTTTTTGAAGCTCTGGAACGATCGACCTGGAGGGAGGGAACATGCCAGTCGGGCATGTGTCTCTGCCAGGGTCCTACTCGAGTGTAGTCTGAACTCCTGACACAGACAAATATGGAGGTCTCTTGCTTTTGGGCAGGGTGGAAAAGCATCTCTTTTGCTTTCACCATTCCCTGATTGAATCTCCATCTTTTCAGCCTGTGTGCTACTGGGGGAACAAGACAGTTTAATAAAGGAAAGGCTGAAGACGGGAGAACAGACACTGGGAAAGACTGTAGGTTTGCCCACAGAAGGCTTTATTCTAAAAAGGTGTTAAAAGGACAATGCTAATTGAATTGTTCTCCGTTTGATGACTGTTCAAGTCAGAATAGCATCAGGTCCAAGACTTTCACAATTATAAATGGTTAGAAAGGAAAGATACCCTGTTAGGGATTTCGTAAATGTATTAAATCCAGCAGGATTTAGATTTATTTAATCTATAGGGATACACCAAGATCCTTAAGAAAGCTATTTCCTCTCTCGTGAGAAAGAGATCAATTATGGCATGAGAATGCAACAAATTGAAAAATAATGAGGTTCATGGAATTCAATCATGCTACTCATGCTAACACCAGGGAACATTTAAGCTATTGGGTCTGGGGGAAAAAGGAAAATGATAAGCATTTTAAGGACCCATCAGATGGATGT